GGATTGGTTCCTGTATATTTGCCCTATTGTCAGTCTGCTGTCCACTGAGTTCCCCCAAAATCCACTAGATGGCATTGTCTGTCCGGTGTGAAGTGAACTTGAACGCTTCCACTAGAGTTGAGGTTAGTTTATATGTTCTCGCCGTGCAGGGTACATCGAAGTTGGCCTCGGGTGATATTTGTTTATAAAAGTAAAAGAGTTGTTATAAATTTAACCTAAAACGTACTGTGTTGAAGATTGTTGTGTTTGTGTTCCTGAATTGAAATAAAATGAGTTCAAGAAGAAGAAGTTGTATAAATCAACCTGATGTGTTTTGTTACATATGTGGAGAATACACGTTAAAAGAAAACAGAAAAACTGTTAGTGACTTTGTAAAGAAAGCTTATTTTGTATACTTTGGTGTTAGGCTTGGTGATCAGGATAAAACCTGGGCACCGCATCAGGTCTGTAAAACTTGTACAGAACATTTACGACAGTGGACTACCGGGAAAAGAAAAAGTCTGAAATTCGGCGTACCGATGGTTTGGAGAGAACCCAAGAACCACTTCGATGACTGTTATTTCTGCCTAGTAAATATTACTGGAATCAATCGAAACAACCGTAGCAAGTGGACTTATCCTGATTTAGCCTCTGCAAGACGCCCAGTTCCTCACTCAGAGGAAGTACCGATCCCAACGTTTCACCAGCTACCAGAGCTCTGTGAGGATGAGTATTTTCCCTCTAATCACCCTTCTGATTGTAATGAAGGTGACAGTGATTATGAAGGGATGTCGTCAATCCCTCAACGTTTTAACCAGGATGAGTTAAATGACCTCATCAGAGATCTCAACCTGTCAAAAGAAGCTTCTGAATTACTGGCTTCTAGGTTGAACGACAAAAATTTACTGGAACAAGAAACCAAAATTTCCTTTTACCGCACAAGAGAAACGGATCTGCTACCCTTCTTCTCTCAAGATTACAATCTTGTATATTGTCACGAAATTAGAGGACTCTTGGAAAAAATGGCTCTTCCTGAATATTTTCCCGATGATTGGCGCCTATTTATTGACAGCTCAAAGCGAAGTTTGAAATGTGTCCTTCTACACAATGGAAACAAATATGGTTCAATACCAATTGCTCACTCCACGAAAATGAAAGAAGAATATAACACCATAGCTTTGGTCTTAGAGAAGATAAAGTATCATGAACATCAATGGGTGATTTGTGTGGACTTAAAAATGGTAAATTTTCTCCTTGGACAGCAAAGTGGTTACACCAAATATCCCTGCTTTTTGTGCCTCTGGGATAGCAGAGACAAAACACACCACTGGGTTAGAAAAGAATGGCCCAAGAGAGAAAACATGTACGTTGGGGAGAAGAATATCATTAACGATCCCTTAGTTAGACGAGAGAAAATCATCTTTCCTCCACTGCATATCAAGTTGGGCCTTATGAAGCAGTTTGTAAAGGCCCTTGATAAGAACGGATCATGCTTTGCATATATAGAAATGAAAATGCCTCAGTTGAGTACGGAAAAAATTGAAGCAGGAATATTTGACGGCCCACAAATAAGACAACTCATTAAGGATCCTGCCTTCGCAAATTCGATGAACGAGGCTGAGCGAAAAGCCTGGACTTCATTTGTTGCAGTTGTCGAAAATTTTCTGGGCAAACACAAAGCTGAAAACTATGTTGAACTGGTAAACGAGATGCTTAACAGTTTCAAATCCCTTGGCTGTAACATGAGCATTAAGGTGCACTATTTACACAGTCACTTAGATAGTTTTCCTGAAAATTTAGGAGACACCAGTGAGGAACAAGGTGAAAGATTTCACCAGGATATTAAAACTATGGAGGACCGCTACCAAGGAAGATGGGATACACACATGATGGCAGATTACTGCTGGAGTTTAAAAAGGGACTGTTCTAAAATACATTCAAGAAAGTCACGAAAAAGAAGCTTCCGTAGTGTTCCGTGACTATAGTTGGTTTGACTGTTATATATAGTCGATGATTTTTTCCTCTATCTTTGTATTTAATATAATAAAATAAAAATATAATTATAATATAGTAATAAAAATTCCATGTTGAGTTTTTTTATTTGATCCACTGATTTAACTTAAAATAGTGTAACGTATATTTCACCAAAATGTTATATCTTAAAAATTTGAGCTCCTAGGCAAAAACTAATGCCATATTTGAATTCAGGGCATCAAATTCATATGAAATCAGCTCCAAATACCCCGGCACCAAAACAGCTGTTGGCCATCCAATGATTCATTGGATATAGAAATTGTCAGAAGATTACACTGATATAACATAAGTTTACAGCCGATAGGGAGAAAATAATTGGGAATGGAACTGAAGCAATAAAGCAGAGATTTATGAACATGGCTACAGATGACAAATTAAAAGCAATGTCACTGTTCGATACATTTACTTGGCCAAAAACTTCCTCAGAGGGGTGTGGTAACAGAGAAATAATTATTCTTGTGCCTCACTGAATGGACCTTCTGCAAAACAGCAGCAAAAGAGACAAAATGAATGTAACTTACAAGGTGTCAGATGAGTGGTACGAGTTCAAAATTTGTGCTCAAAACTGTGTTTGAAGGCTTCATTGACAAAAGCAGTGTCACACAGTGATAATTTTTCCAATTCTGACAAAACTGCTCAAAACAGTCTCAATTTAACCTGCATCCACATCTAGCTGTGACTTCAGCCAAAAGGACTTAATTAAACATAAACTAAAATCATTATTGAAAAGTTAAAGTTAAGATGTCTGGATGATGGTAAACTTAAATCGGTCCCCTTATCATAGTTTAATCCTGCAAAAATTGCAAGAAATGTTCAAGGTCATAAAAATGATGCCTCTGGAAGTGGTATGTTAGTACCTAAGAAGAAATAAACACCAGATTTCATCAAATTATTGCTTGTCCATGGTCTTGTGTCACTGCTAACATGTGGTCATGTTCATTACAATGTTGACTGATGTACATACCAATATTTCGTGTAATGTACTTGGATGAATATTTATAATTACATCTGGAAAAAATAAAAATAAAGACACAGGTCAACGAAAGTGTAAATAATTAACATTTAATTTCTGGCACTGAGGGCTTTTTCTTTCCTTGCTTGCCAACCTGAGGGCCTCTAACCCTTCTGGTCCGGGGGCATTTAAATCGTTTTTGCACTCCAATGCCAGTGGATATTTAAATAATTAATTCGGAGAATGCAGCACTTAACGTAAAGCGTAATAAACGGGGGAAAACTGGAGTTTTGTTTTTCAGATTTTCACACAACGTCCAGAGAAGTATATAGAATTAGAGTACTGATCCACACTACTTTAAAATTATTTTTGGGCCAGTAACCATATAAAAATTATGAACAATAGTATCATATTACCTTAAAAATTCAGCTGTGTGTGGTAGTCGCGGAAACCCTCAATGCTGCCCTCATTTCCAACAGCTTCAATGAAGGCATTACCATCTAATTCGTTTTCAATGTCAAAATCCAAATGTGACAGACTTTGTTCGGAATCGCTTTCAACAAAGTCCTCGTCACTCAACACAACTGAACGTCTCTTGCTTGTCCCAGCCATGGCTGCTACATGCAGACTTCATTAGCTTTGTGGACCAAAGGCAACCTCAAGGAATGCAAACAAGGCATTTGTTGATCATACCCAACATCAGTCATATCAGAGGCCAACGTCACGTATCTTTCTTGTTAGGTTTTCTACACGTGGTTTGTCATTCGGTTCAAGAGGCAGCACTCGTCACTGACTGAATGGAAATCGATTTTTTCTTCGATCAACACATAGAGAGATCACAGACTATGCTTCGACTAACACGCAAGGAGATTACAGACTATAAACCTAGCATATTTAGTTCTTAACTACTCCAAGAGATGGAGATAGATTTGTACGGCAATACTGCACCCTAGACGGCGAGCTAAAAAACTTCTTCAGACTTCAAATGTATAAAAAACCCCCCAAGAAGTTCAAAGTGGGATAACGAATATACAAAATGATAGACAGAAATTTCCTCTTTAATTTCATTGCAGAAGTATTATTTTATATGAAAAGCAGCACAAGACGCATGACGTCGCCCGGCAAGATGTGGCATTTAAATGCTGACGTGCTATGTACGTCGCCCGGCACTGGGTGGCTCAAGTGCCAACAGTGTTCAGCTGACAACTGAGATATTTACCTGACTGGTGGGAAAGCATAAAATTTTTCAACCCTTCACCATACCTATACTTGCTGTCAACAATGAGCTCCATCTTCCAAGTTAATATGTGGCATCAGCCCACATAACAGCTGCCTGAAAGAATTAAAAAATGCAGGAACCACTACTTAAGTGCATTCACATCTGGGACCTTGCTCACTCAGCTTTAACAACTGAAATTCTGAATTAGGAAAACATACAAACTCCACTGTATGGCCATATGAGTCTTACGTTACCTAGAAGTAACACGCCACTGCATTGCAATATTATAAATTTTGACACATTTCAGTGCATACTTCAATATAAATAGTTATAAAGCATTTACGTGTATAAATATGGTCCACTGTTCTCCTCGAGTAATTACCCACCAGACTTTTCACACACACAGAACTTCTGGGAATATCTACCACATCAATGATGGGACTTCATTTAAATCCCTATGTACAGAAATTTTTGGACCAGGAATGCCATTACTTCTTTCATTCTGTAGTTGAAAATGGTATCTTCTTTAATGACAGGACTTTTGTGACTGCATTAATTACACCATAACAGGCATAACCATAATTTTAGGCTTCTTCAGAATGAGTTTACTTGCACATACACTATATTCAGGATGAAAATTTCATCACACATATCCTTGAAATGTTACAAAAATACTCAATTATATCCTTAATAACTTGGTCATAATCTTCCAAAATGTTACAGTGTTTCCAGATTCTCCATCCTGTTGTAGACAATGAAAAGAAACATTATATATAACATTTTACCAGATTATACAATGCAAATTCAAAACCTCACCTGTGACAATATAGCATGCTGCTGTGCTGTGGAGACAGATGGCGTCACTTTGATGGTGCTGGCAAGAGCTGATGCTAGTGTTGATGCGACACTAACTTGTGGTCTTCCAGCAGAATCAATTGTTACATTGGGGACAGATGTCCGCACTCCTGGTGAAGCAGTAACCACCTGCAATGACAATTTTATGAATTCACAAATACAAAACACTGGAATCCCAATGTTCTCTGTCTGAATATGGGATGAACTCAATTTGTTTCATAAAATTTCAACAATATGGACTTCCAGTGACTGTAAAGTATCCAACACAAATTCCAAGTGTTGTTTGTTGTACTTGTATTAACACAGTACTTGTAATCTCTTAATAAAATAGATTTTGTATTCATAGTCAGCTCATGTTTTGTGTGATTATGTTAACGTCTTTCTCTGACAAAACTAGGTTCAATAACAGTTGCAAACAAGCATTTTTACATCTATATAACAATTTCAATACATAAAATGATTTGCACTGAATCCATTGGATTATTACATTTTTTATAAAAAAGATTTTGTACCTAAACATTTTATGATACGATAAAAAATCGTAAAAACATATGTGGAAAATACTTTTCCATTTTCATAATTCTGAAATATAGGCTGTTCACTGATATCTCTAATCTCCCTTCAAGATATTTCCTTATGGTGATAAGTATTCCACATACAAAACAGCAAGCGAAATATCAGAACCAATTGGTCAATATTGCATTTCAATGAAGTGACAAGGTGTAACACCACCAATATTCACCCAGTCAGGGTAAAACACTTCAGTGTGTATAACTGACATATCAAGGCTGATGTCAGTAGACATTTCCAAATTCAAACTATTTTCCCATCTTATAATTTAAATTTAAAAATTCAAAATCTGTTTGGCACCTCCAGTACAGCATACTCATGTGACACTGGTCAATGAATTAAACGTCACCTCGATGCTGGTGAATGATGTGCATGTGTTTTGCATCTCACCTGTATGGCTTGTTTGAGAGACGGCTGTGTGCTGGACACAGGAATAACCCGCGTCTGCAAGGTCTGGCCAGGTGCAGACACTTGTGGTGCTTTAGTAAGCACTGCATGTGATATCACCTGACTCCCTGATGCTGCTTGGGACACAGCCTGACCACCTGACACCTAAATCATCAGTTCAACTATCAGCTTTAACAACTGTTCTGTACCATGAACCATGAAGTATTAAAGCGAAGCCTGGGAGATCATGACACTACAGATATAATGACTAACTTTTCTGGGTAAAAGAGGTCCAACCTTTTCAGCAGCATGGCAAGCAAGATCAGAATACCACTGTACCTGTTCTTTGCACAAAGGACATAAACTGAACATGTAAGACGTGAAAGTGTCTGCCCATGTCTGGATAATGACTCATCCATGTGAGGGTTGTGTAAAGAGCCTAAGTTGACAATATGAGATTTAAAAGTTGTATAAATAGCATGAGTTGACTGTGTGATGTATATAACTTTAGGTGTAACCACTGCTGTTACTGCTGCTTTTAGATAGTCTTTGTATTTATATGACATGTTCCATATTCTACAGTCATTTCACTAACTTTGGATCTATGGAAATGGAATGTAAATGTAAATGTCTCATGCATGAAACTACCGAGTGCATTTTAACATTTAAATGCTGGGCTTTTTAAATAGTCATAGGGTGGGCTGTAAGGAGTTTATTTAAGTGCCCGTTCCTGTTTGGTGTTTAAATAATTTTAAACAATTTATTAAAAATGCTTATCTAATATGATAAACGAATGGAAGTAACTTTGTTTTTACCAGCAAAGAACATAGAGTCATAAGGTAAGATTTGGAAATGTTTATATGAAAAAGTTATACTTGTTTTTTTTTCTAATTTTGATGTGTACTGTACAAAAGAGATTCTTGCTTCTTGACAAAGTGATTCTGCATTATAAGATCATTCATTCTTGTGACACCTGACATACTTCCACTGTCTCTGGTGTTGCAAAACAGCTGGAAAGACTAAAAACCTTGTTCTGTTATTCTGCTTGTAAGGTTCACATTTTTGCTACTCTCTTCAGATATTCAACTCTGTTGACTAGGGGTACAGAAAAGTGAAAGTATGGGCATTCAGGAGAGACTGGAGATAAATTGTACACCAGTGCCAAGCCCTTCCACTGCAGCTGCAAGAAAATATTGCCCATTCTATGGTCACAATCAAACATTTGTGATGCAATTAAGATCTAAAAGTTTGTGACGATGGTACATTGCTACAAGTATCATGTTTTTGGACATTATCCATCGTCTTGTCTATATTTAAAAAACGATCCTGTTTATTTTTCAAAACACAACATTTCAGAGACCGGACTCTGTCATTGTCCTCAGGTAAAACATATTCAGTTTGGCCCAGTAGACAGAGCTAGTCCCTATCCAGACCAGAGATAGGGACTAGCTCTATGTATTGGGCCCAACTGAGTAGGTTTTACCTGAGAACGGAGACACAATCCAGAGATTTTGATGGATTTACATATTTTCAGTCCTTCTGATTACAAAAAAGTGGTTTTTGGTATGCTGTCTGCATGTGCACCTCTCCAATGCCTGAACTGGTATAGAGTTTTATTCATATTTGGTATGTAAGAGTTTATCCATCTTAGGTTGATGCCTGTGAATTCAAACATTCCAGCTCCAAAATTAGGGGGCCCTTCAAATGTGCCCCAAAACACAATATGGCAGTTTTCTTGAAAATGGCTGAAATGATTTTCATGAAATTTCAGCAATTTATTGAAACCACATCCCTAAACAACCCCACATGTTGGTATCTTCAGGAAAGTAACAGTACATGAACTAGGGGCCCAACAGCAAAATATTAATTTCCTGAAACCTGGCATTACCAGCCAGATTTTATTACTGTTCAGCATTCAGCAATCAGCAACAAGTCTACTATGTAACAGCTGAGGCAATTTCCAAAGTAGTCAGGGTCAACCGTTAAGTGAGAAAGTAAGTGCAAGGTCTTTTCATCAATTTCTCATTTGCAATTTTGCATTTCTCATAGCTGTGGTGTTCTATATAGCTGATGCAGATATTGTGACAATTAAAATTCTTCTTCACAAATTAAGTTTGCAAAGTCACTAATTTAAATCTTCTATGGGACATATCTCTGAAATATATTCAATTCCTTTGCTTATAAAATTACTTTTATTTATATACTGCAAGAACAGTGGTAGGACATAGAAAGTGAAAGGCGAGTAAAGTCTTTAAGTAGAGGAATAAAAGTTATTTCAGAACTATATATCTCATAAAACTTTTGAGTGAGTGACATTATAAATATATTATTATGAAAAGTAAATTAATTTTAATTGTCACACTATAAGATTTTCTTCAACAATACATGATCATAGCTAATGAGACATGAAAAACTGCACGGAAGCACTGAGAAAATATACATACATCAACCTGGAAAGCACTTTCCCATTCCTATAATTGTTTCAAATTGAAATAAATTGTAAATCAAATGACTTGATCAGAAAGTTTCAAATGAAATGGACATACTATAACCTATTTTCTGAGACAGTCTATGAGACTCACCAATTAGACTGTTAGTGTGTTGCCTTATGATCAAAATTGGAAACTTAGTACTCGATGATTTATTTCACAAAATATGAACACAAAAACTGAGGTTACTGGCTCTTGAATGGAATTGAGGAAGAGAAGGTAGGGAGAAGTTGAATCCAGAAAATTTTCAATAAAAGATTACTGCTTTAATTCATGTTATCTTTACAGCATTCACTCCGTTTGTAAAATCATTACTTCAAAAAGGAATGAATGACTTTCTTAGTCCAAGATGAGATTCAGGACAAATTATGAGAAACTAAATGAAAAGTTTCCATACTACACAAATTTTACTAACCGTAATCACAATTTATAACACCAGCCACTTTTTCATAATGCACACTTAAGTGTACTGCATAGTCTTTAGATATCAGATGTCAATGACATATAGAGAAAAGTGTAGGATGCAGTCAGGGTAGAATGAGAAAGAGACAGATCTTCTTAAAAAGCTGATTTGCATTGTTACCAAAAAGTGACAATCTTGATAAATTGAACAGTACGCATGCTACTCCACAAATCAAAAGCAGTCATCTGAAAATTCAAGGATTTTGAGACAAAAAATCATTGTCTGAATTGAGAGATGTATCATCTCAACTAATCTAAAAAATCTGAGACTCACAAAAACCTGATAATTATAGTAAACATTTTTATCTCTTGAAAGCTTTTTTAAATGACACCAGGCCTGACCTTACAGCAATTTAAATGACAGCTTAAATGCCAAGGGATGGATAGGGGACAAGTCACATCTTATGCTCACAGACACCAGGGCATCAGTGACGATAGCCAGGTGGGACATCACTGCAAGACTGCCTGGGAGGAACCTGACTAGGCTATACATCCTGCAGATGGAGTCTTGGCAGATCCTCCCCATCCTGATATAAGTGCCAGCAAAGATGATACTGGGACAACACCCAATGATAACATGGGTGTTCATCACCAAAATCACCCACAAGTTCATCCTGGGGTCGGATGTCTCATGCCCATACGAGGCATCTGTGGAATTGGGGCACCATGTGCTATGATTGGGTGATCAGGGTATGATTGTATTCATCCCCTTGTGTGAAAAGAAGCAGTGAGGTGGTAGTGACTCAGCGTGGAACAGTTGTGACGGGCATGACAGAAAGACTCCCTGGAGGTGGTGGATAGCCTTACATGGGCCAGTTCCAGTGCCACCCAACAATCAGGAATTCCCATGATAAGGATGTCATTTCAACCCAGAAGGGAGGTACCTGTTAATATGCCTGGAAATTACCAGCAGGAGCATATTAATGGAGGTATGCCCCTAGAGGACCATGCTGGGCAGAACATACTGCCCAAAGGAGGGAGCAACTGGAAGATGACAGCCTTGGACTAATTCCATGAAGAATGAATCCTGGATGACATCCAAAGCAGGGCAAGTGTTGAAGCCAATGTGGCACTGTGGCGACATTCATCAGGGTGGCCACAGATGTGGCAAAGAGGCCCCCTTGGAGTGGAAGGCATGGGAGTATGTCTGTAGGCTGATGCCTAAAAGTCAGAACTGTGGAGTCAGAGAAGCACCATAAAGGCATCTGCTGCTACACAACAGCTTGTTAGAACAAGTTGCTGTGGCAACCAATACATACACGGCAGCAGAGGAACTGATGGGGGCCATGATTTTTAATCAGTCTAAGAGAAAGCTATATAAACAGAGCCAGACAGATCCAGTTTGCGACGGCCAGAAGCAATTTACCCGACTGACCTCAATGGAGGAATGGTCATTGTTGCATGACTCCCAGTCGTGAGAAAATAAAACATGGTCATGAGTCCCGCGGGGCTCAGAAACCAAGAATGACTGTGGTGGTGAAGCCCAGGAGACATTTACCTGACCTGACCCAACCCAACCCAGTCTGGAGCAGGGCTAGCAAAGGCTAATAGCATATTACTGCTGTGCTTTGAGTAGTCACAAAAAGACCAACCTCTCCTCTCAATGAAGAACATTCCCTATTTAAAAACACATGTCTTGGAAAGAACAAAAATACAGTAATCGATCCTGAAACCAAGAATAACTGTGCTGGTGAAGGCCAACAGCAAATTAGTTATCCACTCTGCCCACACTATTGCTGTCAAGCATGGAAATATCAGGGACAGTCCCTATTACTGGAGGCTGTAACCAAACAGTCAATATGTGGACATATAGAAGACTTGTAATTAATTACAGATTGGGAATAGTAGTAAAATCATTGTAATTAGTTGTACTTAAGTATCCAATACATTCAATTATCAATCTCACCCTGTGCCTAGCCACTAAACCAGGCATGTCAAACTCAACTTGTACAGAGGGCCACCTCAGCCCCATAAATAATAGTCCAGGGCCGCACTTCAAAACAGAAATATACATTAGATTTTGATACAAGGAAATTTAATTCTATTTATTATTTAGGAATAATTTCAATATAATTACCTAAAGTCACATACCTTACAGTTTTAGAAAGCAAGAGAATGCCATTTTTGACAAGTATCAAACAGCTTTTCAATATGTAAAAAGAGAGATTACACAAGAAATTATGTTAGAAATAGCAAAACATTTAATTTCCTGCAGCCTGCTAATTTATGTCTGCGTGAGACTTCTTGTCTTCTGGTCTGTTGGAAAATTTGTCTTCACAAAAAATATTTCTACTAAAATTTTAATATTGATTTTAATATCAATTAGCTCTAAAAGTTGACAGGCCGCACTTTGTGGCTATGGGCGCTGCATGTTTGACACGGCTGCACCAAACTATGACAATACTGTTTCCATCTTTAAGGCAAAAGTAAGCTGTGGAAGCACTCTTCAGCCCTGAAGGTGGAAGAAATTTGTTCCTCTGAAACGGCAATAAACTTCCATCACATTACAAGGCATAACATTTCAGAAAACAGCTGAGAAACTCAAATTTCACAAGTTCACAAGTTCTTGTTATTTTGGAGGAAGAACTAACTTCAGAACAAATTCTGTATACATTACATTTGTTGGATATAATTTTAAAGTTTCATGCTGTAAATGTTAAAAAAATTAATATTCCATCCATTAGTTATTGCTGTCAAACTGAAAGCTAAATGAAAATTTTGTACATTCACTATTTTGTTTCTATATTCCACATAGAAATCAAGAGCTGCACAATTTTAAAACATCTATTATCACATATCACATCTATACCCTATATTACATGCAGCCAGTATCATTCCCACTCCTTCAATCTGCGTGTCTGACATATTATTAGATGTGTGTGAGAATGAACTTTTTTATTTTGAAAAGAGACAAAGATGAGAATTTGCAAAAATTTTAAGAATTAAGATGATAATAAGTCTCTCTAGTGGACCAATTTCTTGATTGTAATAATTCAGAACAGTAGGCACTTTTTCGGTGTGCTGCCATTATGACTCTGCACTAGGAAACATATGCACAGAAAAAGCAATTTTATGAATTAATTTCATGCTCTTACTACAAACACGTGAAAGAAAATACATATTAGAAATTTAGTTACACGTGACATTTATTGAATTAGTTTCCATCTTCATGTTATTAGCCTTCACTCAACTTCACTGGCCTCATTCTGTTCACCAATTCTATTGTCTGTCTCATATTTCCTGCTCACACTATCATGTTCACTGTCAACAGTCCAAGCTTCTTCCTCATCCTGCCTTCCATCCATTTCATTAGATAAGCATCATTCCTCATCACCAAAACCCAAGAAGTTCCAGACACAGCCATATGCAGGGAAGATTATGCTGACTCTCTTTTGGGACAAACAAGGCATACTCTTGGAGCACTACACATCTTGGGGGAACACTATCACCAGTGCCTCATATTCAGACCTCTTGAAGAAACATCTTCGACCTGCAGTCAGATCAAAGTGACTTGGACTTTTGACTAGAGGTGTCCCTTTGCAACATGACAATGCTTGGCCCCATACTGCCCGTGCAACAGTTGCAACAATCCAAGACTTGCACTTTGACTGTCTTCCACATCCGCCACACTCACCAGACCTAGCCCCAAGTGATTACCACATGTTTGGGCCACTCAAAGAGGCAATGGGAGGAAAGCAGTTCCATTCTGATGAATGCGTGAGTGGTTGCGCAGACAATCACAAGAATTTTTTTCTAGAGGAATCCATACCCTTTGTAAATGCTGGAGGGCCTCTATTGAACGATATGGAGACTATGTAGAGAAATGATATAGCTGTGTACCGCTTGCATTCAATAAATTAAATTTAAACAAAATTTTAAGGTTTTCATTTGACTCACCCTCGTATATATCAAATTCATGACAGGCAGTTTTGCAATTCATATAAAGGGTAAAAAAGCTCATCTTCCATCTAGGCAAATATGATACTGATTCCTTTTTACATCAAACACTAACACACAAAGTGAAAGCAGTTATCAGAAAATCCCTGCAGTCTGACCCTGAAAAATGAACATGTGAATCAAGGGTGAGAAATTTCTTCCTCCACCTGATCTCAAACATTCAAGACTTACGAGTACACAGGCTTAGTTATTACTGTTATAGTTTAGCATCCTGCTGCATTGAGGCATTATCCTTATTAACAAAGTACCCCTCAATAATGCAACAATATAAAAGACATCAAGAATATATCACTCACTAAAGAAGTATTTTAATACTTTATGATGTTAAAACCATTAAAATGTCAATAGGACACTAGAAATATAGTTTATATATTAAAAGTGATTATCAAAATTTCTAAAATGTCTCTAGTTTTACATATATTTTTTTCAGTTTATGACATGTTTTGGCCGCACATGGCCCATCATCTTTTTGCTTTTGGGGAGACCACTGCACTGTTCACTTGTCCACAGTGCCCCCATGCACAAATATCCAATTACTAGAGAATCAAAACAAACAGAAGAAAACACGATAAAAAACATCCTACAAAAAATGGATACAGCACAAATCTAATTACGAAACCAATACCACATAAACAAAATATACAGGAAGATCCAAACCAGTAAAAAACAAAATGGGCCATTTTTTACATATTGTGGAAGAGAAGTAAGACAAATAACTAAGATATTAAAAAACACGCAACTGAGAATAGCCTTTCATACAAAAAGCACAATCAGCAACACACTGACATCGAAAAATATAACAATAGTGGCTTATATCAAATGAAATGCTTGGATTGTCCTCCGAAATACATTGGTCAAACTGGAAGGACATTTAATTTAATGGATGAGGAACACATTCAAGCCATTAGAAGTAACTGTAGCAAATCTGGATATTCAAACCACATATTATATATGGGACACTCATATGGCAAAATAACGGACATTATGTATGTCATAAGGATTGGAAGGAAAAGCAGACATTTGAAAACACTAGAGAGATATCACATTTACAGAATATACGAGAGCAATTTACACATGAACGACGTGCACATTGACACACACTACCTACAATGATATATAATCAGGAACAACTACACTATGTTTAGTATACAGGAAGACTGCACAAGTGACACATACACAAGAGAAATAAGACACACAAAAACATAAGTACACAGAATCATATTTGATATATGAAAACAACACAAAAAAATTCATGAAAGTGTTTATACTAGTATAGTCATATTAATATACATTATACACTGCAGTACGATATAGCCGCAAAAGAGTGCAATGACAGCAATCTAGTCATGAGATAGAAGTAAACATTGACGTGCATGGGAGCACTGTGGACAAGTGAACAGTGCAGTGGTCTCCCCAAAAACAAAAAGAAAAATCACCTGATGATGGGCCATGTGCAGCCAAAACATGCCGTAAACCGGGAAAAAAAAATGTTAAACTAGAAACATTTTAGGTATTCTGATAATCACTTTTAATGTATAAAATATACTTTTAGTGTCATACTGACATTTTAATGGTTTTAACATCATAAAGTATTAAAATACTTCTTTAGTGAGTGACATATTCTTGATGTCTTTTATATTGTTGCATTATTGAGGGGTACTTTGTTAATAAGGATTAGTTATTACTGATTTCAGGAAATTAAAATGTACAAAGTTCAGGGTAGCTTCCAATGACATACCATTCAGAACAAAATTAATGAAGATTTGAGGCTTTCACGGCGGTGACTATGAAGAAAGCAGGCTTCTGGGATTTGGCACCGTGTATATGTGGTGTTAACCGACGTTTCGGAGGAACGTATCGCCTCCATCTTCAGGGTAGAAGAAAAAGTATAAGTCTTGTCGCTTGCAGATTTCTTATACTTTTTCTTCTACCCTGAAGATGGAGGCGATACGTTCCTCCGAAACGTCGGTTAACACCACATATACACGGTGCCAAATCCCAGAAGCCTGTTTCTTCAAAATTAATGAAAAACTGGTGATCTTATAAGTCTACATTTCTTTTCAAAAAAGTGAGGATAAGAATCTCAATGTTGTTTGCTACAGAGATGTTTTGCAGGATCATTCAACAAATAGCCCCAAGAAGGACCTTATGGAGGAAATGACACTGAGATCACAACAGGCTTTGAAAATGGGAAACAATGAAAAAGGTAAGAATGCTACGCACTGTACTGAATAACTTCAAGATTCAACAAAATTCTACAATGACGAATTACAAGGGTAACTCAATAGGTATAAGTCATTTAGTAATAATGAAAATAAGGGAAAACCTTGGAAATGCTTGTCAAGTATAATGCATAAGACTACTGAAACACATTTCACTATACTTGTAAGATTATAATGTAGAATTAAAAATGTCATTAAAAGTTAGGACAGATGGACTAGGAAAAATGAGCAAATGACACATCTACTGCAACTTACGAAGAGTAAAATTCAAGCCTACGACAAACCACTGTAGTACAATGGGGGAAGAAAGAAAAAATAACACAACTCACATGGGCAATGTGCTGTGGTTGAACATGCTTTATGACTTGTTGGATCTGCTGTACTGTCATAGTAGTTGGCATAGCTTTCTGAGACTGAACAATCAGCTGTGCTTGAACACCTGCTTTCCCACCCACCTGAAAATGCAGAAATTGCAACTGCAATGAGAATAAATTATAAATCTATCTTATAGCCCTAATACTTGACCACATTTAAGCTGAGCCATTAAACTACTGTATGGTTTCAAAAATGATTTTCAGATTATTGCTTTGTGGGATGTGATACCATGTACTCAGACAGAAAGGTACCACCATTTTTAAGGAATCTGCTGCCTCTTCCACCCTAAAGATGGAGGCACCAGGTTCCTCCAAACCACTGGTACCTAACTACTTGATGTAATATCAAGAAAACAACAATTTTCACATTCACTGCCATAAGACTCTCAAATGTCATAAACATTTTCAGTCTGGGCTCTAAGTAACTAGCAATGCCAACAGTGGACCTTCATCAATGTTCTGAAGGTATATATATACAGGGTGTCCCAGGAGGAATGTGCCAAACTTCGGGAGGGTGTTCCTTATGTTAAAGTATGCCGATATAACCCAAAACACCTATGTCCAAAGTTGAACGGTTACGGAGATAATGGCCCGAGAAAAGTGTGGTCTTCTGGCGGGTCCACGCATTGTACCTGTCAGCTGAGACGTCTTATCTATGTTTGTCCTTGAGTGTGGTGATTCACACTAGCCGTAAGCTCATGTGCTACGTACAGAGTACGGTGCGGCTGCGCCGTGAATGGTTGGTAATTAGTTGTGCGGAGTTGCTGAAATGCCTTTTGTGTTTTCACACGTTGAATATTGTGATATGCATTTTGTGTGTGGATTTTGCGGTGGCAATGCACGTGCTGCTGTTGAAGAGTACCAAAGGCGTTTTCCCGATCGAAGGATTCCATCTCGAAGTGTATTTACGCGAATTCACCAGACATTGCGTGATACTGGTTCTCTTCCGAATGTTTGTGCACTCTGAAAGGGAGGATGTATGAAAGATAAACACACGCGAGAGAACATTCTTCGCATGATTGATAGAAGTCCGCGTCTCTCCACTCGTAGAATGGCCTCTCGCANTGAAATGTGCATACGTGGTTCCATAATAATCCACATGAGATAATGGAAACGAAATTCCAAAAGAGATTTTCCGTGAATGTTTGTTTAGTACAGTTATGTAGTCTGTTTATACCAGTATGCGCAGCCAGCCATATTACGTCAGCGCTTGCCAGTCATGTGTCATGTATAGTGCTTGGAAACCCTAAGGACAATTATGACATGGCGAGCGAGTATTTTGTACTTCAATTTTATGGCTTCACATCACTCACAAGTTAGTTTGATGTTACATACATTATTAACATTACAGAATCCACATATTCCTGCCAGTTTTAATATGTATTTTGTAATCAACAAGTGTGTAACAGCGGTCAAAGTTTCACACTTCTCTGGCCATTATCTCCGTAACCGTTAAACTTTGGACATAGGTCTTTTGGGTTATATCGGCATACTTTAACATAAGGAACACCCTCCCGAAGTTTGGTCCATTCCTCCTGGGACACCCTGTATATATATATATATCATACATCTTTAGGCCAACAGTGGCATCCCTTCCATATTCTACTTGCAGTCTGCATCATGTGAATTTTTAAAATTGCACTATATTTCAGCTTCATATTATGCAACAGAAAAAGGTTTCATATTCAAATGCCCATGGAAATCTGGCAATTCCTCAAAGCTCTTCCAGCATACTGTACTTACCCAAATGTAGAACGACCCATAAAATTGTGTGTTAAAAAAATAAAGGAAGTGGGAACAAAAGGCCAATGGACAAAATTAGTGTACTCATCAAAGAATTATAATTCTAATAATACATTATTGTCCAGGTGCAATATTAGTGATTTGATCTGCAAATTCATTAGCTTCTACTTAAAATTATTATACTGCCTCATCTAGGATGTGTGTAAAAGGTTCCAAGTGCCATTTGTTTTTCTTCTAAAGATAATTTTTCAGGTTTCTCAAAATGAAAACTGAACCGAGTCATAAAGAAATACATATTAAGTAACATCACTCAATAGTACACACCAGTTAAGGATCAAATATGAGCAGTTTGTCCTGACCTCAAAGTACATAAACAGAAATTCTGTTCCTAGCATGGAATTTTATGACAAAAACTGATGACCCAACTCATGTACTGCACCTGAGTGAGCTGTGCCATCTTCTGTGGTGGTAATTTACGCTGTTGCAACAGCTGCTGTTGGATTGCCAACTGTCGTATCTGTTGTGGCGTAGCAGTCTTCATGGCACCTGTTGCTTTCACCTGAGGCAGAGTCATTCCTGTCACAGGGATAGTCACACTCTGAGGTGACCCTCCACCACCCGGAGCTGATACTGTCTTCACTAGTGTTGCAACCTGAGTCTGACCAGATGTACCTGCCTGCTGCACCTGTATATGTCCAGAATTTGCTCAGAAGTAGATCCTATGAACTTATTACACATGACACTTTACACTTCACCAATCATTCACTTCTGTTGCTATGACGATCTTTTGTAATATTCGAGTGCTGTCATGTATTCTTGATCTTGGGAAATATTCACTACATTCTTTACCAGTAATGGTTAAAGCAGTTAAAAAAAAAAGTAAAGTAAAGTAAAGTAAAGTAAAGCTATCCCTGTACCAGGCTGTGAAGACCCATAGGGTTGTGAGACGTTGAGGGTCCCACATTATCTAGACAAACGGCTCAAAGTTGGCGGTAAGGTCGTTAGCTTTACACGCTGGCGGTGCTTTACTCCCCAGAAAATTATTTAATTAATTCCTGGTACTCATTTTTGTCAGAGGCTGAATCGACCCCAGGGCCATAGTGCCGCTGGATGGATTAGGTCAATTGAAAAAAATCCAATGACCTCATCGGGACTTGAACCCGCGACCTTCTGGCTTGTAGCATAGCCCCTCAACCAACTATGCTACTGCGTGCCCCCTCTTAGAAATGGTTAGCAGAAAATACAGTATGCGCCAAAATATACAGTACTGAAATGAAAAGATGTCTTGTTGATACCACTGTCTATTCATGTGAAGGCCCCTTGCACGACAGAAACTTCTCAAATCCTGAAGAAATGGTCCAATCACCATGTCCCTGTAGCGTTCTTGGGTGACAGTAAGGGCATTGCCTTTCTCATCCTCAATGAAATAGGGGCCCAATATACCGCGTGCTGAGATGGCACACCATATTGTCACATGTGTACTATGTAGCGGTTTCTTGACGATAACATCTGGCAGCTCAAGACCAAGGAAGCAAGTTGTCTGGCGACCACTTCCATATGAGCGGAAATAATACTCAACTATGAATACTTTTTCCTCCATCTAGAGACCCATTTCCAACAATTGCACAACACAACTTCCTTTTCACTACTGGAAACACATGAGGCTGGAGCTATGCCCCATCGACAAATGCACATGCACGTTCGAGATGCGCAAGTTTCAGTACTGCATTTTGACATTGTTCATACATTTTGGCACATACTGTAGTCATGAGGGACAGCTAATAAATAGGCCATAAATGGAAGTAAAACAACTGCAATGGAAGTAATAGGTCTTCTGTGTGTAGCAGCACAGTCCAGCTTCATAACAGTCTAGTTAGCAGATGCGGATGCACATGTTCAGAGGCTGGTTTCAGTAGTCAAAATGGCAACCGTGCTTGAGTATATTACCGATGAGAACAGATCTGTTGTGTGTTTTGTGTGAGCAAAACAACTCAATGCAAAGGATATTCATAAGGAAATGTTTCTGTTGCATAAAGTCGTTCACAACTGGGTTGAGATATTCTCTCAAGGATGCTCGAAAGTAGCAGATGATGCCTGACCAGGTTGTTCTGTTGAGGCTGTGACAGAAGCAACTGTGCAGCAGGTGGACAAGTTGATTTGAGCTGCCAGGAGAATACCGACAAACAGTGTAGCAACTACATCAGCGTGCTCCCATGGTCCAGCATACAGCACAATGCATGATTGTTTAAGTTTTGGAAAGTGTGTGCATGGTGTGTCCTCAGAGAACTGAAGGTGTCTGTCCTTGCAGTATCTCTTATGGTATGCAGCTGAAAGAGATTATACACTCAACAGGACTCTTACTGCAGATGAAACATGGGTGCATCACTACCAACCTGAATCCAAGCATTCTTCAATGCAATGGAAGCAAACGTTTTGCCGATGACAAAAAGGTTGAAATGAAGGTGGAGAAGTGGCTGAGACAACAGTCAAAAGACTTCTAAGCTACAGGTTTTGAAGCACAGGTCAAGCAATAGGATAAGTGTATCAATGTTGGTGGAGGACATGCCAAGAAACAAATGTTTTTTTGCCATGTTCGAGTATCACATCTTATGTTTTATATCCACTCATCACCTACTTAGTGACTCTCCCTTGTATATAAAGGGGGTTTTGAATGAATAAGTAATCCTTGATATAAGCAAAAATATGTGCTGCAGGATATATACATGTGGAGGGGCAGAGCAAGGTGAACACAGAGAAACAAAATGAGGTGAACATTTAGCATTAAGTTCTGACAAACCTGCTGCCTCAATCTTAAAAGCAGAAGCTTCTTCTATTGTGAAGATTAAGGCAGCAAGTTCTTCTAAAACAATGGGAACAATATGCCAGACTACAGTGTCACATCACTGAAAACATTCCATCAAAAGGAAAAGTATTATACAACAAAACCTTAATTAAAGTCACCTCTTACATACCATTGCAGAACACTTTCAGATACTGATCAATAAAAGTTCCACATGTATGAAAACACATGTGTCATTAAAATTAAATAATGTTTTAGGTTCGTCTAAGATGGACAATGGATTTGAACACATAACAGAAGAAACATCCGCTGAAATACCATATCATAAATCTTCCACTGTCCAACATAAGCAAAGGCATCCAAAGTACGTTCAATTTAACATGCACATGACACTAGTTATATTTACCTGCAATCCAGCCTGAGCTAGAATCTGAGCAGGAGTGAGTCCTGTCTGTGTGGGAACTTGCACTTGAGCTACCTGTGCCCCTCCAGCTTTCTGCTGCACTGCTAGATGCTGTTGTTGGCGCTTAATCAATGCTGCCATTTCTGTCTCTGACATTGTGCGAGCAATCGCAGTTTGTTTACCACCAGGGGATGCTTGTTTGATGAACTACAAAGAAATTAAGGTTAAGTAAACAGTACATTTCAAGCAACAAGAAGTCACAGAATGTTCAAGAATTAAAAAATGAACAAATCTGTGTTTGGAAGAAATGACTCTTAAGTTATATAACAGGACTGATTCAACTGTATAAGTACATAGCACTGAAAAAACTAGAGATGATCACATGTGTTGGGTATGAAAGGATTTGGATGAAGAGAGTTATGACTTATTAAAAAGTATAATCAGGGCATTCACATACAGAAACTGAAAGAAAACCATAAACACTTCAGCCAGAATAGCAGGCACCATGGCAGATTTGAACCAGATGTCCAGACCTCCTCCTCCTCAAAAGGCTAAATCCTTTAGGTCTTCCCTTATGTCATCTTTCCATCTAATCTTAGGTTGGCCTAACGAGTTGTCGTTTACATTCCCTAAAGAACAGACAATACTTTGTAAGATGAGGCGCCGACTAAATAATTAACATTAATATTACTACATCTACTTCACGAGCCTCCAATAACAGTTTTTATATACACACAAAATATAGAATACTCCAATTTGTCCGAGGGAACACAACAAAATCACAAAAACCAATGACTGACTCGATGATGTAAAGTATCAATCGAAGAATTTTACTCTTCTTTATACTATAACTTTTGTTTTTTATACATCTAATTTACTGTATTTTTATGTCAACTATTTTAATATATTATTATCATTGTATCCAATTTTATTAATGCTGCAGTTGAGTGGTGCATATATGTTAGTCATGTATTTGCCTGATGATAGCTATTAATAGCAAAAACATGTAGCAGAGCCAAAACTAGGCACTGACAATGATATAGTTGTGTTGCGACGGGTTTAATAAAGAAGTTGTATAACGGTATTGTTAATTTCCACATGTTAAGCCCTTTCAGTCTGCTTTCACTAGTTGTTTCCCCGTAATGGATCTTTAACTATGGAGATCCTTCAGCTTCTGTGCTTGTGTCATTGCTGTCCAGTGAATATCCCACAACTCTACTACCTGCACCAACTAGGCCTTGCCTTCACAGACTCTCTTACAACTCTCTCTGAACTCCTGCTCCAGTTGTACTCCTTATAACATCTCGGGACAGACCACATACAAAACACTGTTCATTGTTATATTCTAATCACCTCCATGGGAACACATTTGTTTGCCAAGACGTTCAGTAACAGCTTTGTAAACTTGCTTTATTAAGAATCCACTGCCTAGCAGCAATGTAGTTCCACTGTTTGTTTCGAGGTCATGACTCAGTAACAGGTCTACACACTTCAATATAATAGGACAATTTTTAGAAAAATGACAATAACTTTAAAATAAGCTTTATTAATTTACATAAGGGTTTCAATATATTTAAATATTGTAATCCTTTGTAAAAAACTGTACATGACAAGACTAACAGCAATTGACCCATCATGACACAGTACAATAACGAATGTAGATGCATTTTACTGTTTACAAACGCCTCATGATGGTTGTAAATGACCAAAACATATAGCAAAAAATAACATCTTAATAAACTAACTGATATTTATTGACATTCACGCCTTCAGTTATTTACTGGAAATGTACAATTGTGATTGAGGGACAAATTTACACAGTAGCAAACACAATAAGAGCAAAGAAGTAAAGAAATCTATCATTACTACTGAGTAAGTATGGTATACACTATATATGCTATGGGAATGCAGATGAACCATCATCAATGATGTTGACTGTTCTGTCATAATTAGATGTTTACTAGAGTCTGTTAACATACTTCTGGTATTCATTTGATGGTGTGAAATGAAAACATACTTACCACATGACTGCCTACATATGGTATAATGTACTCTCATCATATAGCAGATGGACTTTATGTAGAATCCTGTTGTGAGACAGTGTGGAAATACTGTTACCTGTGCTCTCTGCTGTTGTGCCTGTGAGACCTGAACAGCTGTGACCCCTGCCACAGTTGCTATTCCCATAGTTGCTCCTGTAGTCACAGCAACTGAAACCTTCTGATTTGAAGCTGACTGGGCCTGCAGAACCTTCAGCTGATGGTCCCGTAAAAGTCGCTGCTGCTGCTGACGAAGCAGTTGCTGCTGCTTATAGAACTGAATCTGAGCATGGTTCAACGTCTTTCCACCTGCTGTCACAGTGCCAGCTGTTACACCTGATCACAAAACACCACATGCTACTACATTAAACTTTTATGCATACAGTATGTAACAGTGGTTCATGTCTTCCCTGATTCACAAACTCCTAACTGCAATGCATTCTCCTAAAAGTAGTACCCTGTCCATTTCACATTGTACAATACAATTTGCTAGAATGTGACACATTCACTGTCACAGGAAAGAACTTAACACTGTCACTACAGTACCTAGAAATAATGAATACAAAAGAAAAATATTATCTAAAAGAAACACTTTATGAAGAAAATAAGAGAAAACCCCACTAAACACAAACAAATTCAGTAACAAAAATGAGTTAGTCACGTATAAGTGAAATTAAACACACAAAATCACGAACTATTCACCAAAACACCACAGCCAGAATAACATTTAAAACAACCAACACAATTAGAAATATACTCTGCACAACACCAAAAAAAAAAAAAAAAATGAAAATACAGATATATGCAAACTTATATACACAGACTGCCAAAGATCCTACACACAGCAAACAGGAAGGCCACTAAATGTCAAATACAAAAAAAACACATAAGTAGTATCACAAACAAGAGAGAAGATCAAGCCTTTGCAAGGAAAATACTAAGCAACAGGCATCAACATAGAAAAATGGAAGATACTGTAACGTATAGAGTGGTACATGTAATGAAAATGACAGGTTCTAGTTCGGATGATTGGATTTATTAGCACCTTGGTTACAAGTTCTCTTGATCACATTTAAATACAGTGCTACCGTTGATTTACACACACACTGGTCCTCTCCTGGTATCACAACAAAAATGTAGGAACTATAATAGTCTCCCTGAATCACACACTCCAAGTATGACTTTGAATGAAGCCTTCTAATCACACTTTTAAGCCTTCACAGGTCGACTTTTCAACTATGAACTTCTCGGGGCTATCTTCCACCAAAAATGCAGAACTGAACTTGTAGCGCCGTTCATTTTAAGATAACTCCTCTGCACGGACCACGTGGAAAACACCGTCTGCCGTTGTTGTGGATGCATATTTACAGCTGCATTGCCTGGCAACATACTTCCTATATATCTCTGTGCTTTTGCTTGGCCCCAACTGCATAGAAAACACAGTTTCCTTTCTATTGTTGCCTCTTTACATGTTTACAGACCTGTTGCCTGGTAACACATTGATCAAATCTGTTACACTGCTCTCTCCTTAAGGCTGTCCTCCACAGTCTCTTCCTGTCCTTTCATCCTTTTCAGGTTCCTCGTTCCACCTGCTTCCTGGTCTGATCTTTCCTGATATTATTCCTGTGCCATGCACTCTTGCATGGTTGGTCATCTTCCTGCTGGCAGCAGCCAACTTTCTCCAGGATCCACAATCTCCTCGGGTCAGTTCTTTTGGCTCTCTATGTTGCCCTGCTGCTTCTTCCATCTTTTGACCAGCTTCAATATGGCATCTCCCTTAGGGAGATTGTGCAAGTATATAAAGCTAAACTGAAGAAGTTACTGAAACAGCACATGCCAGAACCCACCACTGTGCACTCTGAAAAACCTGCACTTTTGGGACATATGACAACTTCAAAACTGCATCGGGTGCACTGATTGTATTGAATTGAATTTATTTACATTCTATAAATCCTAAACAGGTTAGTACCTTTGGATACAGAACAAGTCAAAAGGTTACATACATAAGTACAGGCAATTTTAGCTTAAAAATTAATATAACTTAATTTTACATCATTCTCTATTTACATTGAAGTATTCATCTAAAGAGTAGAAGGAATGAGCATGTAGATAATTCTTTAACTCTGATTTAAACTTTTTAGTATCATTGCCCAAGTTTTTAATACTTTGTGGCAGATTGTTGAACACTTTTATGCCAGTAAAGTAGACTCCTTTTTGATATACTGATAAAAGTTGATGAGGGTAGGTGGAAGTTATATTTTTGTCTAGTATTCATGTTATAGACATCAGAATTTAATTTGAATTTATCTTTGTTGTAAACAACAAATAAGAGAAGCGATAATATGTATTGCGATTGAAGAGGTAGAATTTTTAATTTCTTAAATAATTCTCTACATGAATCTCTACTTCTACATCCTGTAATGATTCTAATTATATTCTTTTGTATTTTAAAAATTATTACACTATGTGAAGAGTTCCCCCAAAATATTAATCCATAGTTCATAATAGAATGAAAGTAGGCATGGTAAACCATCTTCAATGTTTCCTGTGACATAAAAGGCTTAATTGATCTCATCGCATAGCAAGCTGCATTTAATTTAGGTATAATTTGTTCAATATGTATTTTCCAAGACAGTGTACTGTCTACATGTATTCCAAGGAATTTTGTATCAAGTACTTTACAGATTAATTTGTTGGCATAACTGATGTCCAGATCAATTTGGTGGTTGTTTTTAGTTGTGAATGATATGTAATGGGTTTTATCAAAATTTAATGAGAGTAAATTGGCTTCGAACCATCTGTTTAAGGCTTCAAATACAATATTTATGTCATTTTTAAAGTTTTCAAATTTAGAGTTCTTAAATACACATACAAGAACTAACCACCCATGAAATTTTTGCTCATTGTACTACTGTTACAGAAATTATTATTCTATTGGCCTACTTGCAGTCAGAGATGTGACTCACAAATTCATCACTGTGGATGATGGCCCTTTTGGAAAAGACAATGAATGATACTGGCGTTTTTGACAACTACCCTCTACACTGTGCACACGCATCAGGAAGAATAAAGATACCAGAAGAAAATGCTTGCCAGGTTCAACAATGAAAGCATCTTTTATTTTCCTTGGTGATGGTGCCTTTCCGCTCATCAAGTACCCTATGAAACCATTCGCACGAGATCAATTACAGACGCTTTCAAACTAGGATGGTGGTGGAATGCTCTTCTGGTAGTATAGTTGTAAAATTTTGTCTCTTATAAATGGCAAAAGAGACAAATGTAGAAAATATCATAAATGAGGTTACAGCAATAACATTAATATACAACGTTACTAGAGATTCGGAGGGTTTAACAGAACTAGAGCACATAAATTCATAACTGCAAGAACAACCAGAGGGCACATGTACCATCATCAGGCAGAAACAAGTTGTGTTTGCAAAAAACAAATTTTGTAGATTTTTTGCGATCTGCCCTTTGGTGCATACATAATTCAGTTTCAGCACTGCATGGTGTATACTCCAGTTTTTATGTTCTTTCAAATAGAATCAGTTCATACATACAAATATGAATAGTAACATTGAAAGATTCTTCTTTGTTTCTCATTTCCTTCAGTGTAATCAGGTTGTGCAGATGGAAGTCAATAATAACATTTTACAAAGTACTTTCATGTTTCATCTACATTTTCTGCAATCTTGCTCCATTCCCTGTCCATAAGAAACTGATTAGGATAACCGATGTGTTTCATATCCCAAAGGACATATCCGTTTTCACTTCACTAATTACAATGTCTACTAACAAGTCTGTTATTACAAAATGAAAACCAACAGCCTGCAACACCGACAGCGCAATCAAGCAATTCGCATAAGAATATCAAAATATTTGATCTCAGGAACCGTTAGAACTTCAGCCACCTTAATATCTCCACCTTGGCCTCCTGCTTCACTTGCATTTGAATCCTTAAGCAGAACGTGGGGCACAGTAGCTCCACAGAGAAATTCTCTTAAGGACATTTGAAAGTCACAGATGATGCTTGATGAGGTGCAGAAATGGCTGAGACAGCAATAAAAAGATTCTATGCTGCAGGTTGACACACCGGTAAAGCAATGGGACAAGTGTATCAATGTTGGTGGAGGATATGTTGAGAATTAAATGCTTTTCCAAAGTTTGAATATCACATGTTTTAAGTTTTATATCCATTTGCAACCTATTTACTGGCTCTCTCTCTCTCGTAAAACTTTCATAGTTTCCTTTTCATATGGTCTAAAGCAAGAATTTTTAAAACACTGCATTCTCCCTCAAAAGTATGTACAAGGTAAACTTACTGTAAACATGCGTTAAATGAGCTCAAAACATAAAATTCCAATCTTTCTTGATAAGCAATTGTTGTCAGGTGATTATTTACTTTACAAGGAACACATGTCGTCTACTCTTGTAACCGCAATGACTGGATCACTATGTACTTACCTTTCGTAACTACAGTAGTAACTACCGTTGGAGACTGGGACACAAGGTTTGCTGAAGCAAGGCGCTGAGCAGCCACTTGAACCTGTGCAGGCGTAAGATTAGCAACTGACACAACAGCTGGAGAGTTCGCCACTGCCCTCACTTGGCCTGCAGCAGCTACCACATCCTGCAGGATCAAGAAAGCAAGATGAGAAGTATTCATATCACAATGATTAGCAACTCTCCACTGAATAATTTTCATTTCGTGCATCCTGTTGTGTTATTATATACAATTTTTTATTAGAGTCCGTCGCAACACAACAAAACAATGGTCAAGGCTAAAATTAGCTTCATAATGTAATAATGTAATAATTATCAAGTATCCAGCTTCACCATTGCAACTGCAGTTCAGTAGTGTGTGAATATCTTAATGTGTTTGCCTGATGATGACTTTAATAACTGAAACATGTAGCTAAGCTAATTTTAGCCTTGACAATTGTATTGTTGTGTTGCGACGGACTCTAAAAAAGAACTGTCTCCAATGAATGTTGCATTTCATGATGTCCTGTGCGATTAGATGAAAGAAAATAACATTCTGGTTAATTCCAAATTCCTGAAGAATGGGCTGTTACTGTCTCTAATTTCTAAATTCAAGCTCAATTAGGTGCACTGATATTTACTAGAATGGTGCAGTTCTTCAAACAGTTGTCTCAACTTTTCATGGCTGGACTAGTTTCAGTTATTATTCTAATACCATAAACTCATAAAGAATCATTTCACAAGTTTATTGTTGTGTATGTACAAGGAGACACAAAACTATAATACAAAGTTGCTTAATAAAACCCTTTTGCTTTAGTGTCTGATTATGACTGATCTAAGCATGCGCAACATAAAGGAAATCACAGCTACAAATACCAACAGCAAACTTGGGGTTATCCAACATTCAGGATATTCATCAAATGGCAAATATTTCAAAGAAACGTGTATGTATAACACAGTCTGTCAATAATGCAACAGATCGTTCCTTTCTCTTCCACTTCCACTTTAACGCGACATGTTTCGGCCTTAGATGGCCATCCTCAGGTGTCTTAATATATCAAAACTGCTACACTGTTTTAATATGTGGTAAAATCACACAATATGGTGCATTTAATTAAATAAATTAAAATAAAATAAAATCCATAAAAATTTTCATCACTTTGGTGAAATTCTATTCCAACCTCACAAGCGGTGTCGTCCACTTGTTTTTAATGTTCCTTAGCCCGTTGTTCTGTTATGTCTGCAATCTGTAATCTACAAAATGCCACAAGTTAATATTGTTTTTGATTGTTATTAATGTTATGTTATGTTATGTTATGTTGGTTTACTTTGTACTCACATGCCACTTGTTCTGCGCTGTTCCCTCTAGGAGTGTGTGGTGTTGTCTTCACTAGTGCAGATGTGGTGTGTTTGCTTCCATATTTATATGCCATGGTCGTGTAGAGTGGGGAAAGATGGGGGAGGGTATTGTGTTATTTTGTGTAAATTTTGAAGAACTATACAAACTATAAATAGAAGAGAAAGGAACAATTTGTTGCATTATTGATGGACTGTGTTATACATAGACGTTTTAATATGGCTTGCAACAGGATGCTTAAATACAGAATTTCAAAGAAAATTCACCACTCTTCTGAGTTACTCAAAAACAAATTTGTGCTCAGAATTACTGCGTTTTCGGACTTTGTCCACTGTCCAGTATTCTAGAAACGAGAGAACATAATGTTTCAGAAACTGGATCCGTTTCTGTCCTCAGGTGAGGAGGACCAGTGATTCTGGGTACTGTACACCACTGTCAGAATCCTTTACAATGTACAAGAATCTGTGATATCACACCACATGGTAATTCTACCAGCTGCTATAGCAGAGCTACACATCATTCTCTCTCACATAGGTGCCATCACTGTGAAGGCTAGGTGAATTTGTGATCACCTGCTTTGCCTTTGTAGTTGGTTTCTGTAAGCCTTTCTTGTGCAACCATTAGACCACATTTCCCATACATGCCAGATAATGGGGAGTTTACAGTACATTCTGACATTGTACCTGAACAGAATCATCACCCTTTCAGGGTTAGGCCTTTCCTCAAAGCAGTCTACCATCAGGGGTATCGAAATGCAGCACAAAGAAAAGTCTTTAAAACTGATGAAATTTTAAAAGACATTTTTGCATGTTAATATGAAATGATTATATACTAAGGGCATTCTGTATATAATACCTCCTATTTTTTTTTTAAAGAAAACTACAACAGATACAGAAATCATAATAACACGGTTAAATAGAGCAAGATTTCAGCTACTTACAGCTATTTTTCCACATAATCATCACCATTCGTTATGCACTTTTGCCATCAATGAACAAGAGCCTGTATGCCACGCCTGTAAAAGTCTGCGCCAGCAGAGGCCAGCCACTTTCTTACAGCTGCAATGACAGCATCGTTGTGTGGAAAATGTTGCCCACATAGTCCGTCTTTCATAGGCCCAAAGAGATGGAGGTCTGAAGGTGCTAAATCGGGGCTATAAGGTGGATGTGGTAGGACAGTCCAGCCAAACTTTGCAATGTGCGCGGTGGTCGCCAAACTGGTATGGGGTCTAGCGTTATCGTGTTGCAAGCGAAAGGTTGTCCGCTTCTCTCGCCTGACTCAGGAAATACGGGCTTTCAGCTTAGTCAGCGTCGTCTTGTAGCATTCAGAATTGACAGTCCCTGGTCGTTATCTGCTGATCTGTTCGGATGAGGCGCTGTTCATTGTGAGGAGTGGCAGCTGAGCAGGGATGCCCATGGCGAGGCTTGTCGTGCACTTCATTTTCGCCACTGTTGAAACGCACTACCCACCGAATCACTGTGCTGACATCTACTGTATTGTCTCCGTACACCTTTAGCAAGTGTCGATGGATGTCAATGGGTACAATTTGTTCGGCAGTGAGAAATTCAATACCACATTTCTCTTTCATATGCACTTCTGTCAGATGCCATTTTGGTAGACTGCTCTGCTGTCGCTATCTGTCGCACGACAACCAAATTAACAGTACATTGGCGGGAAGGTTCAACCTTTACTACAACACCACCAACATCCAGCTCAGACGTTACATATTAACACAAAAAAAATATGAGGCATTATATACGGAATGCACCACGTATATATGTAAACAAGGACTGTTATGGCAACATCTTGCAGATGCAAGTAAGAGCTATTTAAAAAATCTTTGATCCACTAGATTAAAATGTAGTTAAATGATAGTGGAATCGACAGAAGTAAGTATCTCCTTCATATGTTTTGTACATACACAATAGTCTTTAATCCCAACTGACAACCAGCTGCACAGTAATATAATAGAAGTCTTGTGCTGTGACCATCGAAGAATCAATGCCCATTAACTCTTTGACTGGCACGAAGGGTATTTAAATCCCACCCCTGTCCTGGCAGGCCATTTAAACCTTATGTCGCTAAGATGCATGTGCTTGCTTTTTTCTAAACAACTTCAACAAAAATTGGTTTTTAAAAATGAAATTTTCAGGAACTATTAAAAAGACAATATTTTATGCAATAAATGTCTTTCCATACCTTTTTAGTAGTTTTTCTTCGTGTGATAAACATTGAAACATGAAAGTTTGCAGAGAGCCACACCACAGCTTGCACACATGATACTTGTTTCTTTTCTAATCTTGTGCTTAGCACACACTCGACACTTTCTCATGGCACCATTCTTCTTATTGTTACTGGGAGGAACATGGACCATTTTGTGAACTTTCAGGCCACCCTCTAGACGATTTTCTGGGTCTTTCACTGGTGGTCTTTTCAAGGTCGCGTGCGGAGGCGTGACTGCACTCGAGTCTGACGCATTAGTTTCGTCATTCACTTCATTCCTTGACTGTTCTCCCTCTCCACACTGTTTGTTTGGTTCTGTCATTTTTTCTACACAGTTCAATATAAAATCTTTGAATTTGTAATTTCTCGTATTTTTCTGGGCGTCAGGCACCGCACTCGTGTTAGCTAAATGTTCATCATTACTGTCTTGTGGATCATTGTCTATCACTGTATTATTGTCACTATCAAATTCATCCAATTCAGTAATCATTATTTCATCGCCACTATCATCATCAGCACAAATCTCCTTCACAACACTTTCCAGCTGGTCTGTAGGAACATGTCGACAATTGCTGCGAGAAGACACGGTGAAACTGAATGAATGTGAAATATTTTTTGAACTTTTCCTTCTCGGAGGGTTCTGAGAGTAATATAGACCCCCACAAAGTTTACAAGGGTTCTTTACAACCATGCACAAAAACTACCATATATATGTCTTTGGTTGATGAGTGCCAAGAGAGCAAATAAGGGAAGAGATTTTCAAAGCGTTAAAACACGCCAACGCCAGGGAACGGTTGGCATCACCCCAGCGTTAAAACACGCCCGCGCCAGTCAAAGAGTTAAGAAAACTGAACTGTACAACTGCAGAAAATTTTTAATTAGTACAAATACTTGTATGAGGGCTATTTGGAAGGTAACGTCCAGTGTATATAAACACCTTACAAAGGCAGTGCATATATAAAAAACAGCCAATTGGGAATATGAGTTAATGACACCCACTAGAACAAGACCAACCAAATTTTTGGAATCCTATACAAATATGAGGGAGAGTCAGTAAATAGGTCACAAACAGAAGTAAAACAGCTGTAATAGAAGTAACAGGTTTTCTAAGTGTAACACATGATAGCAGCAAAGTCCACCTTCATACCAGTCTAGGTAGCAGACACACATGTACATATTCAGACGCTAGTCTCAGTAGTCAAAATGGCAACCATGCTTGATGAGTGTAATAAACAAGAGCAGCATTCTGGTATGCGTTTACTGCAGGAAGAAGGACTCAATGCAAAAGATATTAATAAAAAAAAATATATCCTGTTTATGGTGGGAAGTGTTTGTTGCATAAAGCAATTCACAACTGGGTCAAGAAATGGTCTCAAGGACATTTGAAGGTCACATGATGCCTGTCAAGGTCACCATGTTAAGAACTGCAACAGAAGCAACTGTGCAGCAGGTGGGGCAGTTGATTCAAGCTGACAGGAAAATAATGACAAGACAGTGTACCAACTGTGTTAGGGTGTTCCCATGGTTTAGCATACAGCATAATGAATAAGAACGGAGACCCCATCACAACATATACCTATAGCATGTACACTGCTCTGAAACAAAGCAGAGCCAACTAATCACCAATTTTTGATTCACTACTAAAAGGAAGTAAAATAAAAAAAATAGGCACAAAAGATTGGTTTCAACAACTGGATTCCTTTGAGAGCACAAATGAAGATTTTGAATAAATGACCACTGTGAAGATCAAGTGAGCGAAAGAGAACAGAAATTGCTTTGACATAAGACAACCTATCCATCCACAAATGGATATTAAGTTTCATTTATCAATCAAGAAATGACACATGTAAATACCACAAACCTGTACTGTAAGAGTGGTGACAGGTCTCTGTACTCGGCCAAGTGCTGGTGTCAGAGTTGCCACAGATCCAGTTTGTATAACTGTGGTGCCAGAAACTGATACTACGGCCCCAATCTGCTGTGGAGAAGATGCTTGACTTAATCCAACCACAACAGCTTGCGGTGCTGAACTTGGCACAGTTGACTGGGTTGAAGGACCTGGAGATGGTACAGATGGGGCAGATACCTGAGGAACAGAAGCAGTGGACCCAGACTTTGCAGCTGCTGCCACTTGTTGCTGTTGCTGCTGTAAAGGTGGAGCAATGAATGATTGTCCTCCAGAGAGTACCTGTGAATGCAACATCACAAATTTGCACTGTCACAAATATATATGTACTTAGAACATTATTACACCTATACCTACATCAGATGAATGAAATACGAATATGGTTAAAACGAAGTATGTGAGCATACAAAAGCCGTACTGTAATTATAGAAAATATTATTATTATCTGCTTTGTAGGGTAATAAAACATAGTTTTTTACTATAATGAAAAAAAAATGAGAAATCTAAAAGCGTTAAGGGAATTCTAAAGAGATGAAAATGAGCAATGGAGGACATTACCAATGTACCACATCAGGCTGGTTACAGTGCACTGAACATTTAGACCTCAAGGAGGAATAAGATACAGGCCATGATTTATTTTATCCGTCTTCTAGTGCACACATTCATCTATCCCCTCTTCACACTCCCACTACATGTTTCGGCACAAAAGNTATAGACAAGGCATGCAATGAACTAGTTTGTCGTGGATTGGATCAGCACCTGAAGATGGCACTTTTGTGCCGAAACATGTAGTGCGAGTGAGAAGAGGGGATAGATGAATGTATGCACTAGAAGACGGATAAAATAAATCATGGACTTAAATCAGTGCAACAGGACGCTAAAATATAACATAAGATACAGGCATTTAATTATGACATGAAAATTTCTTGTAAAGTGGAAAAGAGCATGAAATGAGCATGCATATTAGTGGAACAATAATGCTCTACATTTATGTAGGTTTTGTGGTTTTCACGGCGATGACTATGAAGAAAGCCGTCTTCTGGGTTTTGGCGCCGTGTATTATTCGTTTTGGCCGACATTTCGGAGGAACGTATCGCCTCCATCTTCAGAGCAGGTGAATGGCTTGTGAACGCAGAAAGCAGTAGCTGTAATGATGGAAGTGAAAGGCGCTGCTATATATACAAAGTAAGCAGGGGAGTGGTTAGGGAGAGCAGACCAACAGGAGCAGTGGAGAGCGATTAAGACCAAATATGGTGTTGTGTGCTATGGGGGGGGGGGATGGCCAGTGAATCCAGGAAACTTGAGGTCAATAGCACTTGGATGTTGCTGTTAGACAAGAAGAACCGGTTGGCTGGGGACAGGCTACTGACGTCAATGACATGATTACAGGGGACAGGCTACTGACATCAATGACATGACAAAGAACTGGGGTGGCTAGTTGGATTTCTCTTGAGGGAAGAGATGAGAGGCTTCCATATCATTACAGTTACTGCTTTCTGCATTCACAAGCCATTCACCTGCTCTGAAGATGGAGGCGATACGTTCCTCCGAAACGTCGGCCAAAACGAAGAATACACGGCGCCAAAACCCAGAAGACGGCTTTCTTCATGCTCTAGATTTGCTTGGAAGTACTTAGTAGGAATCTTGTCCAGGTCACTGGCTATCTAGAGTGTGGTTACTCATGGTTTTTCTCAGTACTTCCATGCAAATGCTAGGGTAATATATGTCAGTTAGGCTATAACTGTTTCATTCCAAATCCCTTCCAATTCTCCAGTCACCTCACATAGTCTGGATACTGACAGTGCCATAAATAAAAAGCATACAAGTAGAGAAGGAAATCAGTATAATATTAATATGAATCTTGGGAAAACAGACTGTGAATGTATGAAATGGAATTTACTGACCTAGGACTGCATCAATTTAGTGGCACTGTCAGAAGCTCAGAGTATGTAGCACTGAATGGTAGATGATTAACAAATGACCAATGGGAAAGAATATGGAAGGAAGTACTCAAGGCCCATTTTGAAGTGTTATTCCAGAATTCATCTGAGGGCCGAGAAAACCCATGAAAAGCCTCAGTTAAAATAGTGCCTCACCTGAGATTTGAACCCCACACTTCCTGAATGCAAGTCAGAATTGTTACTGTTTGAGCAAATTTACTCAACAACTGTGACAAGTTGGTTTTTCAAGTTGGTTATTTCATGACACTGTCAGTACTAAGACTATACAGCATCTGATAAAAGGGCAATTAATGAACATGGAGCAGTGGGTGGAATGAGACCTGGAAAGGGAGACTGAAGTATTCAAAGAAAATTTTCTCTAGTGCTACTATCCACAATTTCCACACGACCTGACATGGAATATAACCTGGGCCATCATGGTGGGAAGTTAGCAACTCACATCCGAGATACTGCATGACCTCATTATGTGCAATGCAACCCCTCTGGCAGTGTTTTTCAACTTCTTGGCTCTATTTCTAGTAGGCTGGTTCATTAGCCAAGTGGCTAACACAACAGTAGAAAAACCCCTTAAGATGCATTTCCTTCCCATTTTTCCATGTGAATCTTTCTGAATGTTTTCCCACCAAAGTTCTCTCTCTCATCTTAATCACATACCCAGCGCTTCTAAGCCTTCTGCACTTCACCATCCTAAGAGTATTATGTGGTCTGAATCGAAATCACGAAATTCCTCGTTATGTAATACCTTAAACTGTTCCTGGGCACTCTGCTTTCAAATACACATAATTCAAGTTCCACTGTCACATAAAATACACTTCACATCCATATAAAAACAAGACAAGAACAAAATCAGGAAATGCATTCACATAATTAGCCAATTAACTCTCAACATACTGGTGAAGTATCACAGAAACCAAAAACTACAGTGACAACTGAAAACTTCTCATTACATTCCTCAGGTGAATAAGTTTAGTTTTCAGTTGACAATTAGTTGCAATACAACCAGTATGATTCTCAAACCATTTCTGAATTTTAGGAATATGTGTAGATGCAACCTGCTTCACACAGTAACTGTGTTCCTGGAAAAAACAGGATATAAATAAATAGAGAATATCAAAGACTTTTCCACCATTAAAAAGGAGGACATTTGCCAATGGCAAATTTGGTGACCGTGATCTTTGCCAGTTATTTAAATATAAACTTAAATAATTATTTCTAACATTTAGTATAATGTAATATGGATCAGCATTAAAGTCCAGATGAACAGGGACCTCTGACTGGGAGTTCAAGATGAGACAGAATACAATGCAGTAAGACGCAGATCATGGAATAACAGTGCATACACATGCATATTTCTACCTACAGGAACAGCATATAACCAAGAACATGTAAATCAACATGAACATATACAATTTGAAAGACAATGAGAAAGTAGCAGGAATACTTACTGCAGCTGCCTGTGCTGTTTTCTGCTTCTCTTTAGCAATTCTTTCTGCCCTACGAGTAGCCACTTCTATGGGAGTGAGAGGCTGGTCATATATTATTCCAATGTCTGCTAAAACAGCTGCATGTTTGGGGTTCCTCATCGTGGAACTCTCAAGCTGCTGTGGCCTCACTGTTGGTGTTCGCTTATTTGATACTGCTTTGATTGTCTCAAAGCGCTGTGTATATAGCTGTGTGTACGTTCCATTATTATCTTGGATGTTTAACTGTGATGTTTTCATTGGACGGTTCGTTTTTGTCTGTGGTGGAAGTTTATACATGCCTTTTGTCTTCTTTTGTTTCTTTGGATTTGAATCATACAAAATCTTGCCTTCTTCCCTAGGAACAATGATGGTATCATATCTGAAAATAGAGAAGAGATTAACCTTTTACCTGTGTATTATTTCCTCATTATTTTCCTCAAAAAATGTAATTTTAAGGTAATAATATAAAGGGAAACAATAAAACTCTGTGGCTTTAGTCCGCAAGTGAACAAGCGAACTATACTGACCGGGTGACCTGTGCTTGTCGGCAAATTTAGTGCCAACTTTAGGGATAGAAGGTAACTGAGTGGACTGCGGTCCAGTTCCACTACTTTTCAGGAAATCTGGCAGCAGGATCTGTAGCCATGAACTCTGATCACTAGACCACAGAGGCAGACAATGGGAAAAGAAAACAAAAATGTATTTTCATGGTCCAGTGAATAAAGTCGAATGATGCAGCAAATGGAGAAGATTATTTCTTGGTATGGACTAAAGCCTAATGTTGCACTATGTGGTAAAGGATGCTTGTTCAGTTCCAGTTGAATACTGCAGTAATACAGTTAAATTGTCTCTCTGCTTAAGCATCATGCAATGAAGACTTATAGATATCCATATTTTAACCTTACTCTAAACAAAGAGGAGTAGTCAGCATCACACTGAAGCCACCTCACATCCTGTAAAAGATCCTCCTGAACCCTTTGGATAGGCCCAAGAGATGGGGCTGATGTGATGGCAAAGACAGAAAACTTACCACTTCTGGGATCCAAAAATCTATTAGGGACTTCAAGCATACTGTACTGAACTTCACTGTATGACTCTCCTGTAACTATGTGGAATGGGGCTAAATGTATTATGGATAATTTGGCCGATCACATAGGCACCGACCACAACATGATACCCCACCCAGAAAATAGACAGTTCATATATATATTATGGCTTAAATACTGCAATCTAGACCTGTCAGATTTTCTGCATATATTGTGGACACATTGAACTGTTTATTCTGCCTCACTGTCAGCAACAATAACTTATTCACATCACTCACGGAGCTGAGCATTTCTTGACAAGTTGCGAACTGTGCAGCTACGCAAGAGCTTCCCAACATTTTATGGAACCTAAAAGTTCATTGCTGTGTTAACAAGAGCCCTCCACTGTTCCTATTGGAGCCAGATCAATCCAATCCATACCATCCCATCCTATCTCTCTAAAAACCATTTAAATATTGTCCACCCACCTACGCATTGGTCTTCCCAGTCGTCTCTTTCCTTCTGGCTCTCCCACAAATATCCTATATTAATTCATTTTCTCCTCCATTTGTGCTACATGCCCTGCAATAATTTATTCACACTTATACTATACCTACCTGAACTAGAAACAAACTATTTTCATTATTTTTGTATGTGAAAATAAAGAGGTGTGTAAGATCCTTCGTATAAGAAAATCTTACTACGTTCAGTGACTTGGGCCAAGAGTAATATACGGAGCTGTCTTAACAAAAGCTATGTCACGCCTCTCAAACCATGTGTGTGCATCAAGATTTCTGGGGCTTGCTACCCCACAGTTTCTGTGTGTCCTCAACAAAACTCCAGATATTCAAACAGGAACCAGCAGTTCTACAAAAGAGTATTTTCTCAGCAGTTCTACAGAAGAGTATTTTCTCAAAGTGAGATTTAAGTTTCTCATGGCAGTGACCATTCCTTGCAAACAGAAATTCTGTTTACTGGTATATCTACGTTGGTTTATCTTATTTTCCTGTGTTGGCACAAGGCCACTTCTTCATCATCATCAGTATCTTTTAATTGCAAAGAAAACTCCCATCTTAAAAGTTCTTTTCCAGAGCTCCATATTAGTCAGTTATAAAGAGTGCAGGACATCTGTTAATTTTTGTCTTCTTATTGTGCTGGTGCCAACTTTTGCAGATAGAGGGTGCCTCATGGTCAGTGCAATGAATCCCCATGGCCATTAATTTCGCTTTTCTAGACCGAAGCCACTAATTCTTTGAAATAGCTCCTCAGTTATCATCACGGGGATGAGTGGACCCCGTTCCAGACCCCACTACTTCTCGGAAAAAATCTGGTAGCGCCAGGAATCGAACCCAGACCTCTGGATCAGTAGCCAAGAACACTGACCACTAAACCATGCACTAAACTTCGCCAACAAGCGGCGGTCGCTCGGTCAGTACAGTTCGCTTGCAGACTAAAATCACAGAGTTTTTTATTGTGCTGGTGACAATATAAAATAAAAAGCCAAGGAGAAAACACGCAGACATACCTATGAATCTTCAAACATCATTTACAAAGTCACAGATGATTTACCTGTGGCGGCACTGTTTGGGTGAGCGATATATACGGGACACATTATTGACCATATCTGCCACCATATCCCAGTTTGGAGTATGACCTGGTGATAGGATCATCAGATTTAGCGGCAGCTCAAGAAGCACCTGTACTGCCTAAAATGCAAGAAATGTCAACATTTCAAAGTGAGTTAACAGCAACAGAAAAACTGATACATGGGATACATGTTGCTGCTATCTAAGTATTCACCTACATGCATACATATTACACTACTGTTGAATGCATGGAATATTACTATTAAAATTATGAGTGAACAGGTAAGTTTTAATATACAACAGTAAAATTATAGCCCTATAACAAACATGCACTATCAATCAAAAACAACTTCAGCCGAGTCAAATATGGAAAGTTTTCGAAGATTTACTGACTGTGATGCAGTACAGTCACTGCTCTGTACTAATGATTTCATACTGTACTTTAATTATTCATTCATTTATTTTCCATGTTTCCATATACTGGTACAACCCAGGATATGGAAATAGTCCATTTAACAATGGTCACACAAAATTACATAAGTCTCATAGATACAATCACCTACATCAATTAATCAATTTACATGATTCAAATAGAATATTGATATATCAAATCTCTTCAGTGCAAATATAAAAACTTAATTCAAGAAATTAAATATACTGCCTGAATATTAACCCGTTGCCGTGGTTCGTCGTGTATGGTTCGTCAGGGATTTAAATCGTCTGGGGGGGTTCGGCGTGTCTGTTTCGTCCAGCTGCACACCTATGTTATAACGCCCATAATAATTGGTGGTTTTGCTGTAGATTGTTAGATTTTTCGCTGGCCTGTTGTCACAAGAACAGAGTATACTAAGCCAACGAGTTTAGCTGAGATAAGTCATCGTTACATATGCCTGTCTTGCAGCAAAATTCCTGTGGCTCTGGCGAGCGGATTCTAGCTGTACCGTTATGAAAGGCCTGTTTACTTTGCTTTGAAGATATAAACAACCGAGACGTGATATTTACGATGTTGATAATATCATATTACCCTGAGCTGGCCACAGTAGCACACTCAATTGCAATTCTTAGAAGAGGGTTGTCCAAAATTTTATTCTCGTAAAATCAATTGCTTTCGCACAGTTCATAGCACCCATTTCTTAGAAAAACGCCACAATATAAGGCAGGACACTGTGGTCACCCCCTGAGACGATACGGATGTGTGTGGGGGAGGGAAAAGTACTCATTCCTTCATAATCATCGCTCCAGTTGACGTCATTTTATCGTACTGACCTTGGTGGTCGTTTCGAGGGATGACCGTAAATATCGGAGCGAGGAATGTGGGGCACCGTTGGGTTACACGAATGCTTCAAGGCCTTCCTTACACTGCTCGAATAGATACCGGGCGCTCATATTATAAGGTAAGTTTATAAAAACCATCTTTTAAGATAATTTTAGTGAAAGTTTCATGCTTCAAGGCGTCCCATTCACTGCTCAAATACTAAACAACCTGCTTCCATTGAAGATATAAAGGGCGCGCATATTATAAGGTAAGGTTATAAAACCACCTTTTAAGAGCATTTTAGTGAAAGTTTCATGTTCCTATCTCATAGAATTTAAGAACAATGATGAATAAATAATTTTCGAGCAAAATTTAAATGGCCGGCTGAATATATTACCGCAGGAGCCGCGGCCGCGGAATTTAAATTACCACGTCAAAGGGTTAATGAGCCAGCCATACCTCCATTTCCACCACATAACAAGTAACAGAGTGCATCCTGGACGAGGCACATGTCAAAAGAATAAAATAATTATAATTATCTAAAATACTCATCTAATGATACATTTATATAAAAGTAAAAATCCAATTAATGAGTTTTATTCTAACTCTAGTTAAAAAATTAATCTATATCACAAAATGAGTGTGAATGTAGAAACTGTAATAACGCTTTCTTAAACTGATTTTTGTTCCTGGACAATTGTTTTATATTACCTAGAAGACTGTTATAAATTTTAAGTCCAATATACTATGAACCCTTCTATAACTGTTAAATTTGATAAAGGGAGATGCAAGTTCGAACTATTCCTAGTTACTGTTGTATACAGCTGGGAATTTTCATGAAACATTTCTTTATTACCAACTACAAACATCAAGTATATATATATTGAGAGGGCAAAGGTAGAATTTTCAGTGGTCTAAAAATTCTTCAATATGATTCTGTTCCCAACTCCCACAATTAATCAAACAGCTCTCTTCTGCAATCTAAAAATAAGCTTACTATGATTTGAATTTCCCCAGAAAATCAAGCCATAAGACATTACTGAATGAAAAAAGGCAAAGTACACACACCATTTTTAGAACATCATTACATAAGTACTGTTTGGATTTCCTAATCATGTAACAAGCTTTATTTAGTTTGCCTGTAAAATGATTCAATATGTTTAAGGTCTATATGCTCTTTCCAGGATAAAGAATTATCCAGTGTTATTCCCAGGAATTTAACCTCATTAGATTCTAATAAAAGTTTATTTTCATATTTAATATTTAACTTTTTAAAAGGATTTTGTTTGGCGAAAAAATGCACACAGCAAATCTTTCCAAAATTTAAAGAAAGCAAGTTTGAGTTAAACCAGTGGTTCTCAAACTTTTTACCTCTGAACCCCCCCTGACAAGAGAAAATACTCTCAGCCCCCCCCCCCAGCTTGTTTTTTTTTATCAAAATAGAAGTCATGGTATGTTTGACATTTTATTCAGTTTATTTTGTCTTTTTCTACATACTTTTTAGCAGTTTTTTACTCAAAATTAAAGTATCACAATATTAGGCCTACAACACAAATTAGTTTTAACACTTGCAATTAACCAAAATATTGTGACATGTTGCACAACGGAGGACCCCTACCTCCTCAGCGGTATGTGGCGGCAACGTAGCGCTCTCATTACTACAGTAATAGGCGAGTCATCATCCCGCCACTCTCCCCACGGTGACATAACATGCAATGCACTGTGACGTAACACGGCATGAGGTAACAACGTTGCTAGGCTATACGCAAACACGGCGACAAGGCACTCATTACGTAACAGGCAAGCACTGCGGTTATATAAGAGAGTGAACGGGTAACTGTCCTGGGAGACAGTTAGTGTGTGATCAACAGTTCTCAAGGCAGCAGTCTACGAGTTCAGTTGGAATCTAGCCAGCGGCGAGTTACGAATTAGTGTATGATAATCAGTGACAGTTTGTGATAACTGAGAATTAATTGGAAGTGTGTAACACAGTGACACTTGTATAGCTCCCATACTGTGAAAATATGAATAAATAATATTAAATATTAAATATAATAATATAATATAATAATAAATATTAATATAAATTGTGAAACCCCGCAACATTGTTATAATTAATTGCAGCTGTTGCTTGTAGGTTGTTGAATAAACCAGTTAACAATCCGAACGGTGTAATCAGTAACAAAACACGTTACAATATGTATTGAAATGAAACAATACTTAACTAACAAGTATTTAATTTTTTTCTGCAAAGAAAATTAAACATTTAAATGTCAAAGTTCAGTGTGATGGATGGGCCTGCTTTTGAGAACAAAGTTTATCAAAACGTGGTGTAATATCAGAAATGGCCACCCTAACTTCTTTAGCAATATTTAGCCTTGAACGATACTTTGACTTTATAGCTGCCAAAGCAGAAAATCCTGTCTCGCATAAGTAAGTTGTTGTGAAAGGAATCAGGATCTTCAATGCCTTTTGGCTCAAAGTTGGGAATTCCTTGCCAGTATGTATCCAGAACTCCAACAAAGACAATTCCTTAAATTTACTTTTTAATGAAGTATCACTAGTGAGATCAATGATTTGTTCTTGCTCATTTACCTTCAGAGATGATGGCCCAGGAGCATTTTCGAATGGATTTTTAATCCAATTAAATTTATCAAGATCACTGCAAAAGTATTTTTCGAAATGAACTTTCAACATTATGAGATGATCAAGTAGGCAGCTTTTTATGCCCATTGGAAGCACTTGATTATCAGTGTCTTGTACCACTGACACTACAGTAGGGAACATGTCTAGGGTGTCACTTTCCTTACTGTTTCTCCAGAGGTCTAATTTTCTCATGAATGCCTTCACTTTGACATTCCAAGAAAGTACAGTTGCCTCATTCCCTTGAAGTGAAGTGCTGAGGATATTTAGTTTCTCAAATATATCTGTGAGGTAAGCCATTTTCAATAAAAAAAAATCCTTGTTGCTGAAACTGTCTGCCAGTGAGCGATTTTCCCCATTTAAAAAACAGAACACCTCATGCCTTAGATTAAACATTCTCTTTAATACCTTGCCTCTTCAAAGCCATCGAGCATCACTAAAAAACAACAGCGCAGTGTGTTCGGCACCAATTTCCTCACACAGCATTTAAAAAGTCTAGACTTCAGAGGATTTCAAAGGATGCGGATGCTGCCGAACTATCAACGCTGTCTCTGGCATACACGTTTTATAATTGCCGGTAAAGAGAATAATTATTAGTTATTTTGAAATTCATGATAATTAAAGCCTGTACTCATCAAAAGTTTTTAATATGTATTTTTATTTTTTGTTACTTTTCTAATTGATTTAGGGCAGTTTTAATTTTTATCTGTAGGGAAGTATGCTGTGCCCCCCTTTCTAGCCCTTCGCGCCACCCCAGGGGGTCGCTCCCCACACTTTAAGCACCACTGAGTTAAACCATTCATTCATAAATCTAAACACCATAGTAAGTTTCCTTTCAAGATGTTTGAAATTAGATTCACTGATTACTACACTTGTGTCATCAGCAAATAATACAACAGAGGTATTTACTGGGTCTAAACACTGTATATAAGCTGGTATGTCATTTATATATATCAGAAACAATAACAGTCCTACGATCGATCCTTGTGGAACACCTGTATCAATTTTACCCCAATTGGATAATTAATTTTTAAATTTTACCCTTTGATATCTACAGTGCGTACAATCAAGTGCGCGCCGCGGCTGCAATTTGCCGTGAGTCATACCACCGCAGAACGGATGCAACTCCTCCCCGCGACTGCAGTGCCGTTCCCCGATAGCGTGAGTGTAGTGGTGTCGCTGAGTCTCCGTCCATCAGTTGCTCTACATGCACACATTTATA